AAAAAAAAAAAAAATTCACACCCATATTGATATTCTGTTTAGGTGGACGCGGATACTAAGGTACTACCCGATGCATTGACTTATATGGTAGCTGCCATGGCAAACGATATTACCATTATGGGTCTCTGCGGTGAAACAAGAATTGCAAACAAGAGAGCATCATGTAAGGATTCATTCATATAACAGATGACCCGAAAAACTAAAAACTAGTCTATTTTTTAAAGTCACGACGGCCATTCAGGTCTTTGAATACTACATCTCACATCACTATGCTAAATCATTTGAATCTCTCTTTGGTATTGTCACTTGTCTGCCAGGCTGCTTCAGTATGTATCGTATCAAGTCCCCCAAGAACGGCGCATGGGTGCCCATCTTGGCCAATCCAGATATTATTCTTGAATATAATCAAAATGTTGTCACAACGTTGCACGAAAAGAACTTGCTCTTGCTCGGTGAAGATCGTTTCCTGTCAACACTCATGCTCCGTACGTTCCCTAAGCGACAAATGATGTTTGTCCCTCAGGCTCGCTGTAAGACTGTAGTTCCTGACGAGTTCAAAGTCCTCTTGTCTCAACGTCGTCGATGGATCAATTCGACCGTGCATAACCTGATGGAACTTGTCCTTGTATCTGATCTCTGTGGTATTGCCTGTTTATCCATGCAATTCTCTGTCTTTGTCGACTTGATTGGTACCTTGGTCTTGCCTGCTGCTATCGTCATGACTATCTATCTGATCATAGACACAGCCGTCTCCAGTAACCCTCAATGGCAATCGTTGGCCTTATTGATCGTCATTCTCGGTCTTCCTGCCGTCTTGATCGCTATTACTACCTTTAAACTCATCTATATTCTCTGGATGTTTGGTAAGCTCACTTTTTTTTTATTGCTTTAAAAAAGACTAACACAACCGTAGTGTACATCATTGCCTTACCCATCTGGAATTTGATTTTGCCTTTATATTCCTTCTGGCACTTTGACGACTTCTCCTGGGGCGCTACTCGTGTCGTAGCAGGCGAAAAGAAAGACAAGGGCCACGGTGACGCTGAAGGTAAATTTGACCCATCTCGATTGGTGATGAAGAAATGGGAGGACTGGGAATCAGAACGCACAGGCCAAAAGTTTAACAAAAAGATGACCTTAAAAACACCACTTGATTCCCCTTCAGCCTTTGATGGCAAGAACACGGTGACGCCAACGACGGCATCTCCGTTTGGTAGTATATTTAATGATAGAAAGATGTTTGGTGCCTCACCTGTGTCGTCTACGACCAATATTGCTTAATTTTGTATAAATATTTTTATAATAATAAAAAAATCATAGTTTATTGTTTATACTTCATAATCAAAGGCAATAAGATCAGCAATCAAGGGCTTGTTCTTACTGACAAACTCCAAATGAGCAGGGTGATTATTATATCCAGAGAGACCCTTTTTTGGGAGGAGGGATTAATAATCTACGTTTTATAAATAGAAAAAAAAACTTACATTTTTGTCCTTGACCTCAACAATCCAACCTGAGTGAATGATGCATGAGTTACGTGTGATATTGAATGCAAACAAAATACGTACCATATTCAAATCCTTGGGATCTGTCTGTAAAGTTCTTACCAGCCGTTGCTGAAATAATTTCGGGAATCTTGTCTTTCAAGGCACGGATTTCGCTACCTACTCGTTCCTTGACTTCTTCCGTTACTTCAGGCTTAAACTTGACAATAACTATAAAGTGTTGGTTTTATTGTATATGATGAATAGGATATAATTACCAATATGGATAACTTTGGTCATTCTAAATATGCAAAAATAAAGAGAAAAAGACAAAAAAATAAACGCGCGGAGCCAGATTTAAAAGTGTTTCCGAAGAGTTGCTGTAGGTACACACTAAAAGTCAGCTATATATTACTAATGAGAAGGGGAAAGCTAGATAAGAACCTTCTGGATAATTGAACACTGGTACTGTTACATGACACAGTGTTAGTCTTTTAATAGATATACAATGTATAAAAGAGGCATGTATTCATCGATAAAAGCTATAGGTAATATTTCTATACTTCGATGGGCGTCTTGCATGACATCAAGAAGAGAATTGAAGAAAGGTAAAGGATATAACTAGCCAGTCCTTCTTTGTCGAGTTCATGAAAAAGTCAAAGAACTTGAAAACGAAGATTATGAAGCTGATGTACCAATTCTTTTTTTATTATTATTAAATACGATTATTTCACCAAACAAGTTATTTGATTGCAAACTGAGCAGTTCAAAAGATATTTGGTTTTTACCAATATCAATAGTTAGTAATCTATTATTGCTTTTTTTTTCTTCATTATGGCTAGAGCCACAAAGGTGTTACAGACGAGAATATAGTCACAGAATGGATCAATACCATGGCGTACCAGTAGCTTGTAGAAGTCATCATCGGATATTTGACTGGTACAGCTGATAAGATTGCATAGTTTATCGCTTAAAAATGATCGGATAGACTCAAAAGTTTCCAACCAATTCAGACAAATCATCAATTTCTTTAATAAACTGTCATGATCTTTGTAGAGATTAAACTCTCATAGTAATGATCCTTACATGCACATTTATACATGTACCAATTTCCATTTTGTGAAACTATGCTCAAAGGGTAACACTAAAAGGATCACTCATTGTAAAAAAAGAACCCAAAGCTCATTAAAGCAAAACCTCTAGTACTACATGTATGCTTGGGGACAATCGTTATCTGGCATACAAGCCGTGCGCGCTCAGTATCTCTAAAAATATGTAGAATGAGGTAAAAACATACACAAAAATGAGCCACTGTGGATTCATCACAACGAAAAGGCGGGGCGATACTTAATTCATACGACAATGAGTTTTGATATTCCTTTTTCTTTTTTTCTCAAATATGACAGATAATGGACAGGCAAAGAAAAGAGGTCGAAAGCAAGCAGCATTCACACGAGCCCCGCCTATTATTCTTGACAGACGCGAAAGAATAGAAAATAAGTCTACTCCAACAGAGGACAAGAAAGAAGAAGTAAGAGATACAGTCATTCCATTTATGAGACGACCTGCAAAATTCAACACGGATGCCATTTTAAAAGTAAATTTGCGTTCAAAGGACAACATTTTAAACTAATAAAGTAGAATTTGACAGATTACCCTGGACATTTTGTTATAGGCATTATTGGGAAACAAGGTGTAGGAAAATCAACCATCCTGTCTCAATTTGCTCAATTAGATCAAGTAAAAGAAAAACAAGCTACTGTTCTTTCTTATAATTTACAAAAGATGTAGGTATTCTCAACACAACCTTGCGAACAGTTTCTGATATCGGGACACAAAACAGAAGGTATTGACATGTATGTGACTCCAGAAAGAGCCATATTGCTAGACACAGAGGTGAGTTATTCGACACTGCCTTTTTATGATATTGACGCATTGTAGCCAGTCCTCAGTTGGTCGGTGTTGGAAAAAGTGATAAGAACGGAAAACTTGGATGGATTAAATCCAGATGTTTGGTTGGAGATGGATGTAAGTTATTATAAGAGGACCCCATAATACGAATATAAAATAATATTCTATAGAGCATATATACAGTTCTTTTTCTTCTATCCGTTTGCCACGTTGTTCTTGTCGTGAATGATAAACCAGAGATCGACTTGGATATTTTACAGCTAATACAAAGAGCAGAGGCACTCAAGTTTAATATACCTGATTACCCACTATTGACAGGTCAACAGGATATGAGCTACTACCCTGATATAGGTAATCAAGTAAGAATATTCATTATCCCATCTAATATTTTCTACCACAGTATTTGTTTGTAATAAATGTAAGAGTCAGGATTTTACTCTTGAAAAATACATGAACCTTCAAACAGCACTTGGCACTATCTTTAAACAATCTCAACTCAAAACACAGGGCCTGGTTCAGTTAGGCAGCATCTTACCTTCATTCATCACTACTGGCACCATCAATATCTTTTTCCTCCCAGACCAGCAAGATAACACCATCGAATCCTTTGATATCCTTGCCTGCGAACTTCGTGATCAAGTTACTGCTACACCAAGAAAGTCAGGTAAAAAGGGACAGGTCTCTGAAAAGGATTGGTTTAAAAATGCCTACAAGATTTATGAATTAATACACAAATCAGACTATATCAATGAGTATTTACAAGTCGTACGTAAACTACGAGATTCCTAGCAATAAAACTAAAAAGGAAATTACCCGAATTGCATAACTTTTTCCCTCTTTTTTTTTTGTGTGTGTGTATCCGTTCTCTCTCTCTCTTTTTATGGAATCGTCACAGCTCAGTCTTACTGCTATTTACCATGCTATCAACAACCCTTATTCGTCAGTTGCAGCCACATGTCAAGCTAATCTTGCAATGGCTCCCATCAAGATACTAGATCACACATTCAACAAATGGTACAGTTATGCAAAAGGCAACAATAGGAAATGGTCAACAACAAAGCTGATCCGGTGTCTAGACTACATCCTGACACATAGCATCAGCCCATCAGAGCTACAAGAGACGATCCTCAAATTACATTCATTTCGCTCCTGTCTTGTTTGGATTCTGCGCCTATTAGACAGTCCCAACGATGAGGCACAACTTCAAATGATTGTCAAGTTTATATGCAACCTTTTGGAATCTGTAACGTCCTCTACTATCTTGGGCCTTATTCAGCATAAACACGGCGTGCAACGGATAGCTCAATTGTTGGCTTGTCCAAACACTGCGGCAGCTGTGCGGTTTTATTGTATTCGAGGATTATTAGCGCAGAGTGAGTATTATAAACAGGAGATGCTTGATCTTAACATGCCACAGGTGATTACAAATACAGTCCTGAAAGATTTTGACAAGCAAATTTTTGATGACAGCAGTGTGCAAAAACGGGAGCTGTATGAAGCAGCAATGGCATGTAGGCTGCTGGATCATCTTGTTCAAAAGGAAAGCAACCAGAGCGCCGTGCTTGCATATGCCCAAGAGAACGGTCAATTGTTGAGCCTCTGGGTATCTGCGAGTCGTCGGTATATGACATATACAGGGCCGCTCTCTAAAAACTTGGCATTGATCATGTATTACCTAACCAATGTCGTCTACAAATGCTCGGTTCTATCGATCGAAATGCGTAAGCGAATGACGAACTCAACGACCGAGCAGCATTGTTTTGGACTGCTCATGTTCTTATCACAGAAATGGTGTCATCAGCACATCTTCACCGAGCCGATCTCATCAACCCTTTCAGAAGAAGAGCGGACATTGCTTAGACTGCTAAACTTGTCGCTCACCACAGCAGATGTTCTGCCTCAAGTGCCATCGTACGATACAGTCGTCTACAAAATGGTGCATTATTTGACCTGCTTTTTTGTTGCCTTTCTCTGCCAAGGTGTGGTAGCCGAGCAGGTCTTTCCGGACTGGCTCAACCCACACTTTTGCATTGAGGTTGAGGAGCGTGGCTACATGGTCGACAAGGCCACATGGGACCGGCATCAGCATTTCTTTGCATTTCTACTTGATATCTATATACACTATATCCAGTTATACCCACAAGACAGACGCATGCCCAAGGTATACTTTATTGCCTGGTCCTTGAAATCATTTTTGTTGTTGGTGCACAACTTTGGACAACTCGACCAGTCTTCGTTGGTTCCACGGCTGATGAAACTTGTCGTCTTCTTCTTGCATGATCCCAAGGCGATTGAGGTTTTTTCAAATTCACCGACAGTATTATCTGAATACATATGGTCTCCAACAATCCAACTGGCGAAACAAGGGCTCGAGTTTGCAGCCGGTCTAAGCGACGAAGAAGCACAGTCGATTGAGGTGAAAGAGACAGCAACGCTGTACAAAGCTGATCGTGCCTTTGTCTCTCTTGAACTGGTAGCCAAGCACAATGCAAAAGCGTGCGAGAGACTGGTCGAATGCAATGTGCTTGAATTGATTGACCTCTTGCCGATGGGTGATCGTCTACAGGCGGCTTCTTCGCTTCTGACATTGTATGCCAAGTTTGTTCGTCTGATCGCCACCTTGACCGGTCGAGCAGCATTTATCCGTGTACGCCTGAGGGACACGTCTGATTTGTTTGCCAAAATCAAGAGCCTGCTCAGTACATCAATTGACTATAAAAAGCAATTTATGGACGGGTACCACAAGATCATCAAGGGATGTCTGCTAGTCATTTTATCTTTCCGGTATGATGAAAGCTCGATGCGCCAGTGGCTCTCGTCTGAAGACTCCATTACCTCTCTAACCTTGCCCATTCTGTTCCCATGGGCGCGTCAGGCAAGGATCGCTGAGGTTCATGATATTCATATGCATCTGCATTCGGACAAGGACCTGATGGCCCTGGCTTCGATTCTGTTGGAACAGGCTTCAATATACCCCCTTTGTGTACGACAAGTGATTGAATACGATATGGCGTTACCCAATCTGTGCAAGCTTATTGTTACCCTTGGTTCGTTTGCGGAATCGACGGCAACAGTGGATAACGACCACTGGGAAAACACACTGTTGGACCAAGTTGAAGAAAAACAAGATAGGTTAAAAGAAGAAACAAGTGCTCCAAGCGAAAACAACACGGCTATCATGCGCCAATACGTCTTATCCCTACGAAGCGCAGCCATTCGTATACTCGAATCAGGGAGTAATATTCAAGCGCCCATCCTGAGCAACGCCTACACCTTGTTCTTTCAGGCCATAGTGCAGCGGCCCAGACTTCATAACGATAACCACAAATTGATTTGCGCTAGTCTGTACCAGCACAAAATGAATGACTTTCAAAAGCTCTACCGATTTGCTCAGACAGAGGACGACAGTGCGTTGAAACTTTATGAAATGACTGCAGTAGCGATTGGTTATGCAACCCTCGGCGCACCATCCTCGGCCGAATGGAACGCATCTCTTGGACTCGAAAGTGAAGATAATTCAAAAAGTGTGTTTGGCTCGATCTGTCAGATGCTGGTCTACAATCTGGAGTACGAGCAAGACGTAACAAATACCAACCGACTCGATACAGTCATCACACCCCTACGGCGGAACGCGGCTGCTCAGGTTGTTGAGATACTTGCGATGGAATTTGCGTCTGCTTGGTATGATCAGGTCAGTTCTGTAGCAACCAGGAACGAACAAGGCTTTCAGCAGCATGGCTTTCAGCCGATTGACAACATACAAGATCAAGTGGCCTTTGTCACAGACGATCAACAGCAGGTCGTCGGTTGTCGTCCTCTCTTACGCGCCGTCTCACCCATCTTCCGAGCCCTCCTCAGTAGCGAATACGTCGAATCTGGCATGTCGCTTATTCCTCTTCATGACGTGACGTATCATAGCCTCAAAGACCTTGTTCAAATCATCCATCAAGTTAATGAAGATTCGAAAACGACACTATTATCGCCTGACCGTGTCCTCGCCAATACCTCATGGACCCATGTTGTTGCTATCCTTCAGATATCAGATCGATTTGGATGCACGATTGTCAAGGCACTTTGTGAGAATTGGGTTGTCAACAATATTAAAGAGATGGAAACCAAATCGAGTGATGAGCGTATGGTTTGCTTGGAAGGTATGGTTTGGCTGTATAGACAGTGTAGAGATCCTATTGAAAGGGATGGCGGGATATCATCAGATACTTGGCCTTTCTCAACCATACTCAAAGAAAGCTTAAAGACGATCATTCAGTATCTAACAGAGGCTTGTCAAACTTCAGAATTTATGAAAATGGTGCAAGATAAAAATGCTGATGAATTAGAAGCGTTTTGTGATGGTGTTGCTAAGCTCATAAAGAAACCGAAATAAATGGTGTATTTCAAGGTCATTTTTTAAAAAAGTTTGTTTTCGTTCTCTTTTGCGGTCTATGTCCTAATTGGGTTCCAAATCTATTTGGATTGAATGTTGTCAGTGTTATTCTCTTTTGATGTACGATAAAGAAATGAAAAGTAGAATGTATATGCTCTACCCGTCACACAGAGGTCTGTCCATCCAAGAAGTTAACCCTCATTGATATCAGATATAAGTGAATGAACAGAGTATGTATACTTGCGTTGAATTGCAAATGACTCCATTATTTTTACTCTTCATAATGTTTTTAACTTTTATTAGCTTACAGTCGTGTAGCAATTCAGATCATAGTGACGGTACACTGTAAAGATAGTTTACTTTTATAGACAAATAAACTCAGAAAACGTCATTGTGCTACTTGTTGTACTAGATGTGTCTTGTTTAACACCTAGCAGCACCATGTCAGTCTAATATGATGGAACTTATTTTTCTTTCCCTGAATATGGAATCAGTCAGTTTATGTCTATTGAAATAAAGTTTATAGTAGAAGACTAAATTATTGTTTTTTATGAGCAAGTGTATTCAGTAAGATGCACGTAATTTCAAATCCGCCAAGGTTACACTCTCTATCCTCGTCTAGCATTTTCACTGGTTGTCTGACACTGTCGCACTCGGCCGTTTATCCTTTATCGGCATCATTCCTTCTCTTTTCTTTTTTTCCTTTACTTGTCTGTCTCTCTGTCTCTCTGCCTTCATCTCTTTTAGATGCTTTCCTGCTATCGGAGCAATGCTCCTTGTGACGTCCTTTTTATTTTTAATTTTTTTCTTTTAAATTGCCTTTTATCTTTTCTTTCTCCTTTTTAATAAGTTTATATATGCTTTATAGACCGCAAACAATAGGTTCGATACGAACTTTTACGTTAGCACTCGTATCACTGACTTCCAGTATATACGGCCATCCTCTGTCTTCATATAGCGCATCAGAAGCCGATGAGCCAGAAATTGACTATGGTTCACCTGCGTTTTATGAAAAAATGGCCATCATCATGTTTCTTGTCCTCTTGGGTGGTGTGTTTGCAGGTAAACAAATTATACATCTATTGTTGGATCATATTAATATATTTATATATAGGTCTCACTTTGGGTTTAATGGGTATGGACGAAACCAACCTTCATGTGCTTATTCAGTCGGGTACAGAAACCGAAAAAGTGAATGCGAAGAAAGTACTTAGCTTATTGGACCGAGGTAAACATTGGGTGTTGGTGACATTACTCTTGTCAAATGTCATTGTCAATGAGACATTACCCATCATCCTCGACGGTGTTCTTGGTGGTGGTTGGAAGGCTGTCGTCATTTCAACTGCTCTCATTGTCATCTTTGGTGAAGTCATTCCTCAGTCTGTTTGTGTCCGTTATGGTTTAGCTATTGGCGCTAAAACAGCTGGGTAACGTATGATTTTTTTCTTACGAAAAACCTCTAACGTAATATTAGAATGGTCCTCGCCTTAATGTATCTCATGTATCCCATTGCTTATCCAACTGCTTTACTTTTGGATTATTTCTTGGGTGAATCTCATGGAACGATTTATAAAAAAGCAGGTAAAGAAGCAATTTAAAAAGAAAGTTTGACATGTTCTTATAATTATTAAGGTTTAAAGACGCTTGTCTCATTACACCAATCTGTCAACCCAGCTGATGTGGATGCATTAACAGAGGATGAAGTGACAATTATCGGTGCAGTTCTTGACTTGAGACAGAAGCCTGTATCCCAGATCATGACACCTATTGCCGATGTCTTTACATTATCCACTGACGATATTCTTAATGAGGAAACGGTTGAAAAGATCCTTACTGCTGGTTATTCTCGTATTCCTGTTCATGCCCCTGGGGACAACGCCAATTTTGTAGGTATGCTTTTGACCAAACGATTAATTACCTATGACCCAGAAGATGCGCGACCCGTCAAGGACTTCCAGATCAGCACCTTGCCCGAAACAGGTCCAGATACCAGCTGTCTCGATATCCTCAACTTCTTCCAAGAAGGCAAAAGTCATATGGCTTTGATTTCAAACGATCCTGGAGGACAAACAGGAGCATTGGGTGTCATTACACTTGAAGATGTAATTGAAGAATTAATTGGTGAAGAGATTATTGACGAGACAGATGTTTATGTTGATGGTAAAAAATAGAAGAAATTAAACATGTTACTTATTTTTTATGTATAGTTCATAATAAAATCAGGGTTGTCCGTAGACAAGTGACAAACAGTAGAAAGAACAGCCAATTGACTCGCTTATTAACAGCTCACAAAAGACAAACACACCAAAAGGTACCTGTTCGTGAAAACTCGGTAGGATCGATCAAAAGGGAAACGTCACAGCATAAGAAAGTAGTAGAACCCTTTTTGAAGCCGGTTTATGGTACAATAACCGATGAAAACATGATGGCTGCCTCACCTGAGCCTCATGAGAGCCCATTAAAGTCAAAGATGAATGGTGAATCCGAGCCTCTGTTGAAGAAATAAATAAAAAAATCCTTTTATTAATATCGATTGAATGTTCCTTTTGTCAAATAATTTCCATTATCCACTCTGTTTTTGGGTTCAAAGATACTCCTCAACGCATCCGACACTGGTTTCTTCTTTTCGGCTAAATCTTGAGCTACTTTATCCATCACTGCCGCAGTTGCTCCTGAGGTTGAGATTGTAGCCATCTTCTTGACTGGTTTATAATCTACCTCTTCTCGTTTTCGTTTCTTTTCTGATCCATCACCCTTTGTCAACTTCTTTGCCTTTCTTTCTGCTTTAGCTTTTGCCTTTTTCTCTTCCAAGTTCTTCTTCATGACCTCAAGCTCTTCCTTGTTGGGATTGATGACGACTATATCACTGCTTTCGAATGGTTTCCCACAACTGAAGCATTCTTTGCTTGGTATTTCTTTGAGTGCTTGTTCTGCAAATGTGCATCCACATGTACCCAAGTAGACAAATCGATGCTTTCCGTTCATTTCTTTCATGGATATAGGACAAATGAATTTGCTCTTGATATTTTTTTCTAAATTACCCATTGTTGTTGTTTTCACACTTGATTGTTTCTCATTGTAACTTGGGTTTGGTGTTAAATTCAGTTTGATTGTGTCCTTGACTGAAGTGATGTGAGAACAGATCTTGTCACCATCTCCATATGCATTGCGATCTAAAAGGTATTCTATAATGGCATCTTGATTATATAGTTTTCCTAATCCACAAGATACGACAGGTTGTTCAAGTGGAAGCTTGGATAGTGCGCAGTGAAGCCATGCGGCTATTCTCTCAAGATCTGGGTTTATTTTAACATCTCGAGCCTTTTCTTTAACAAGTTCAATACGTCTTGGAATCGATCCACCGTCGTTTCCCATAATCTAGAATGCAAAGAGAGAGAGAAAAAGACTACGACCGAAAAGGGGACTTTACTTTATTCAGAAATTATGAACCAATGAAAACACTTTAAAAAAGCAGGAACATGATTTGAAACTGAATGCATAAAAATGAAGTTTATTGGTTTAATGCTCATTGTGATTGTATTTGGTGATGCTGTTGTTGCTGATGTAATTACTGGAATTGATGGAACTGTAACATGGCCAAGTTCTGCTGTTGCTGTAATGGGTATAGCTATAGCACAGGTAAATGATATTGTTGCTGTGGCAACAGTAATGGATTAAATTGGAAGGGGTAAGTTGACGCAATGGTATTACAACTATGCAAAAGTATATTTCACAACACAATCGCGCGTTTTTGTTTGATAGGTAAGTTGGATGGTAATAGAAAGTCCTGAACGGGGTTTGGCCATTTTTTCCTTGGCCTCGAAATGACCTTCTTGAACTTCTTCTCTTCTTTTGTTCTCTTCATTCTTATTTTCCTTGTTTCTATTTTCTTCTTCTTTTTGTACGTGATCATTTCAGGATCAGTTGTTTTCTATGATAAGATGCATAAGTAAATTTCCCTTTTTTGTTCCACAGTAACATACAGTCCATTCATATAAATTATCGACCTGATACTTGTTCTGTTCATACACACTCCTAAACATGTTTCGTAAATAGTTGTAATCTGGCTTTTCTGCAAAAGACAGATTATGCACGTACTTTAAAAATGTAATAAACACCAAAGGCAAGTCAACGCAGAGCTTTTCGGGGACTATGTTTTCCTTTAGTTGATAAATAGCTTCAAGCTTAACGTCCTCGTCTAAGTATTTTAGTCCCTGCTAGGGTAACTTTCCTTTGGCAAGATAAATAAGAGTATGAGCAAGTGATTCCAGATCATCTCTTCTTGATAATGCTACATATATATATCGATTTAGTTTGTCTGGCTTTTTCATTAAAGATGTGCTTGCTTATGCCTTCAGGGGAATTCAGACTAGTGTATCTGTATGTGCCGATCGTATATGTTCCATAGCACTGCGAAGTATGTCTGTTGTTATGTTTGAATTGCTTAACAAGATCAAAATCATAGATATATAGCGTTTCAGATGTATCACCAAGGCCCATCGACATATTACCAGACTTGATATCACGATGAAGGGATCCCGCAGAATGCATAAACGAAAGTGCTTCAAACTATAGAACAGCTAGATCAAAGTTTACAATCCATTTAAAGCACAATGCTGCTTGATCTGCTAGCATGAATATCGTCTTTAACGATAGTTTACCAAATCGCATTAGCATATCATCTAATGATTTGTTTAATAGTTGCATAACGAACAAGTGGTAATCGCCGTCTTGACCATACCAATATATTGTTGGGAAATGCTTCTTAGATCCTATATGTTGGTATGCTTTGATTTCCTTTTCAAGCACATCACTTTCTGAGAGATGAGCTACTTTGATTGCAACATCTCTATTTAGTAACGTGTCTTTGCCTAACTATGCAACATGATTAGATGAGTCTTTTTTCTTTTTCTTTTTTCATGTCATACCTTTATAGACTGCACCATAACCACCAGAACCAAAGAGAGAGAGTATTTTGTATCTAGAGTTGCAAAAGGTATCATCAAATTTGAATCGCTCCATTGTTTCGTTGGCTACAGAATAGAAAAGAAAAGTCGCGCAAAGTAAAAAAACTGACGCGAGCGCGCGAACTACTTTTTATCTGCTGCAGGAAAGTCGTTCAAAGGTAAATACAGTGTGAGAGAAATATAATGTGATTATAGTACACAACGGTCAATTTGCCATTGTAAATATCTGGATCAATATTCTATTGTTTCCGTTGTTGGCATAATCTCCTTTTTTTTTTAGTAAAGCAAAACACCCCTTTTAAGTCATGCATCTTTATCCTTGAATAAGAAAATCAGTACATCCATTCAAAAGACACACCATCTAGTTGTAGATGGCTCAAAGCAAAGACCAAAGAAGTACTTATTGTTAATCTTTATTCTGAGATAAAGACAGAAGAAACAAGCATGTTTATACTTTATCAAACAGCTGATAAGCATTTGATCAACTAACGATTCCTAAATTGATAAATCACATCTTATTGCATACATTTCATAATCTGGGTTATTACCATGTGAAGGAGTTAAGTAAGATTCTATTTAGTTTGACTTGTCACTGAAAGTGTTTATATAATCTTATATTGTATGAGTTCACTCTGCTCATACTGATTGCAGTAGTTTATTTCAGTATCGGTCATAAGCAACATTTTGTCGGTTCATATTGAAGTAATTACCGCTTTGATTTAGAGAAAGTATATCGGAAACCAACACAGCTACGTACCTTTATTGTCCTTTCATTTGATATTTACACAATAGGTCTCCTAGCGTATGCGCAACAACATACGGCACATACGATCACTACAGATCCCCTTATCATTAAAAGACGCATGTCATAAGAATACTCTGTGATAGCGGTCATTCTCCCTCCATGTGTTATAAATACAAGTGGCTCTTTGAAATCCCTTTCGATGTATACCAACAAAAAGAAAAAGGCTTTGCTATGGACCAATTAGCATAAGTTCTGTAACGAGGGCCTTTAAGGATTTAGCATTTAAAAAGGTGTTTAATAATTAGCACTTTAGAGACTATGGGAATTTCTATCGGTTCGTGCTTTTTCTTTAAATATAAATGATGATCAACTTAAAAAGGCTCTACTAGTCTTTTATCCAATGTTTTAATCCTCTTTAGCATATTATTCACACGCTCCGTTTTTCATTTATTTTATACACCTCTTTAGACCGGGATTCAAAAACTAAGGAAAGGTATGAGCAGCCTTTTTTTAACGATTACATTACGCTCACTGTAAAGTAATTAAAATAGCAGGGTCTGGCATCCTATTTTGCTATTGTACGATTTTCTTGGTTTGATGCAGTTACAGATACTGAAGGTCACAAGCGACGCTATGTATCTGATAGTAGCAGGAGAGATGAAACAAAAAGTATTATGGAATGACCAAAAGATATGCATCTATAAGTGAAAAGTAATCCAATAGTCATTAGATATTTCTTCGCGTGTGCATGATTTTGAAGTGGGGAAAGCTAAGTGTTAAGCAGTGATACAAACAATATAGGGAGATCCTAAGGATCTTGTAAAAAAAAAAAAAGAACAAAGACACAGCCCCGTTGATCGCGATCGACATGCACACAAGCATGTAATACATGCTTACTGTTGTTATTACAACCATTACTATGACTATTTTTGATACTTTTACTGCTAAAACGAAAAAAAAAGACGCGATTCTTTCTTGCAATGATACCAGCAAACAATCACATGAAGCATGACGTGTTACCATATAAAGATAACGCGCCAGTCAAATAAATAAAAGAGAGAGAGAGTAAGAAACAACAATAAAAAGTTTACAAGAATATGCTGAAATCATTGTCTTGAGGGATGCTTGCAAAAGGATATATTTCATAAAGAAAAAGAACAATAAGAAATGGGGTTTTTGACTAATGCCATTATTGATCCCTGTCCCCAGAGTTTTGCACCCATGCTTTTTTAATACCCGACAAGTCGCCCCTGCTAAGAGAAAAAAAATACACACGAGCTTTTCTTTTCTTTTCTCTAGTTTATACAACTTATTTTTAAACAAAGGTAAGAGATGTTTGAAGCCTTGGTCGCTTCTTTCTGTCTACAAAGTGTGTAAAAAGTATGCACGTATTAACTCTTTTCATTGCTTAAATAGATGTCTGTTCCCGGTAAAGCTCATTTCGGTCATGTCTGAAAAAAGCGTGTTCATCTCTTTTTTTTTAATAGTTGCTTTCAATGATATCGGCAAGTCTGCCAAGGACCTCTTGTCCAAGGACTACCCCGTTGGTGGTGTTAAGCTCGAAGTCAAGACCACTGCTCCCAACGGTGTTGTAAGTATGCAACAGTTTACCTTGTAAGAAACAAATGATATAATTCAGCTGCAATAGGCCTTCAAAGTAACTGGTCAACGTGATAACAAGTCCGGCATCATCGTCGGTGACCTCGAAACCAAGTATGCCGATAAGTCAAAGGGTCTTACTTTCACCGAAGCCTGGACCACCTCCAACCACCTTAACGGAAAGATTGAATTGGAAAACAACCTTGCCAGTAAGTACATCTGACATGTCATTAGTTTAGTTTTGACTCAACATCATCCGTTCTGTAGAGGGTCTTAAGCTCGAACTCTTGACCTCTCTTCTTCCTTCCGTTAACGAAAAGGCCGCCAAGATCAACGCTACTTATAAGAAGCCCAATGTCCACACTGTTGCCACTCTTGATGTCTTCAAGGTAAGATAAAGCTTTTTCTTTGTAAAAATGGGTCATCTTTACTGATGCACACACGCACGCGTTTTAATAGACCAACTTTAGCGTCAACTCTGTCTTTGGTCAACAAGGTTTCCTTGTTGGTGCCGAAGTTGCCTACAATGTTTTGGATGGCAAGGTAAGCATAATAAAAAGGCTATACCGTAAAACACGTTGTGTAATTTGTCTTGACAGGTTGGCCGTTACAACGCCGCTGTTGGTTACTCTGCTCCTGAATACGGTGTTGCTGTCCACGCCACCAACAACTTGAGCCAATACTCTGCTTCTTACTACCACCGTGTCAACAGCGATCTTGAAGCTTCTGGTAAGGCCACTTGGGACTCCAAGGGCTCCAACGCCGTTGCCCTCGAAGTTGGTGCTAAGCTCCAATTGGACCCCTCTGCTTTCGTCAAGGCCAAGATCTCTAACTCTGGTGTTCTCGGTCTTGCGTAAGTTTATTTATGATTTTTGGTAGAATGGGAAACTAACATTGTATATTAGCTACACTCAATCTCTCCGTCCTGGTGTTAAGGTCAACCTTGGTGCTTCTGTTGACACCACTCGTCTTAACGAAAATGCTCACAAGCTCGGTCTTGCTTTCACTTTGGAGAACTAAGTTGCTTCTCTTTTATTATAATTTCTCTCATCTTTCTTTTTTAATTTCTTACTATTTCTAAAGATTTATACACAATTTTTTAAAGAAAAAAGTGGTTTGAACTCTCTTTTTTGTCGTTGAAATAAAAACAGCAGTTTAAAAATAAGGCAGTTTGTGAAATGTATACTTGTATTTTGTCGTACTCTTTTATTTGACAAGGATTATGTTCTTGTTGCTACAGCAAGATCAGAACATTTATTCTGAGTTTTTTTCTTACTTTAGTAAAGATAATATTGATATTAGCATATGTACAACTAATATTCTTTTATTTGTATAGGTGTATTCTATTAAGCATTTGGATAAATCTTCGCGTAGTTAGGTGAAGTAAGCCAGAGTAATTTCTCCATATTCATAGTCCAAGATGATGTATTGATCAAAAATGATAACTAATCAACATACCAAACGGGGCGCTTGTATTCCATTGTTTATTTGTAACACAGTTAGTACTTTTTTTTTGTATAAAAGTGGCAACACAGTTAATAATGCAGGTAAATTTAAATAATCATGTTCATTTCTTGTTACCAATAGATATGATTGGTCGATAAACATTGAAGAACCTCAGCATTGCCTGTTTAAAATATGCAGGCTAATATATTCACTCGATCTAAAGCGATAGACTCCACTGTGTATGAATTAAAATGCGTAGCATCTTTGCGATAAGATTAAATTATGTTAAAAAATGAATCTTTATGTTAATACAAGTCAACATGATACTATCTTTTGTGATGGTCTATTTTATATCATCTGATAAAATCGCTGTAGCGAAATAAGACTTGTTTAAAGCGATGATTTAAGAATGACAAATACTGATCCGCTTATTACCATAGCAACTACTTGAGCAACAAGATCAACGGTTGCTTACAGGTTTGTGAGAAAATGTTCTCTTTTATGATAACGACTGGTATTTGAAGATAAAACTCATTCCAACCTGTGACACAAGTAAACTCTATCAAATAAAGGGACCACCCAACTCAAGGCTCCGTGTAAGAAAATCTTTTTTTTTTTTTCCACGACATATGACCATAAACTATATTACCTTCCAAATATGGTTATCACCCTAATGATTGTGCACAACAACAGAAACGAGAAGAAA